GGTGGTGGTAGAAGTGGTGGTGGTGGTGGTGATGGTGGTAGAGGTGATAGGGCGATTTCAAACACTATTTTTAAAAAATATATATTTATAAGAAATAATTTTAGAAGTATTTTTAAAAAGTCATTTCAAACACACCTTTGTGGGCTTATTTTTTCTATTAAATTTAGGGTGTTAATATTAGTCGTTAGATTAACTTTAAACTAAAATTTAAAGAACTCTCAACCACAAATAACAAAAATTATTTTGTTTATCTTTTAAGATTTAAATTACATTACATATAACATATTCAAAATATATGAAACATATTATGTTTAAATTATTATGCACAGATACACTGACACACGAGTCTAAAGTGCCCTTCATCGGGTTTGACTCACTTATGAGAAAACATTGAATATATGAACCAGTTTTATCTTCACCGTCCCCATAGTAATTCATGATTTACTTGGTTGATTTGCAACTGTATTTAGCTATTTACTAAGGTGAGAGCTTTACCTTCATGAAGATCGCATCAGCCTGAGGAATGGCCTTGAACATGTCACCCCCAACATGGGTTACTCCGCTATATACTGGTGCTGTAGCAACTACATGGGGCAAATCAAAGTTTTTTCCTTCGATATGTGGATACACTTTCACAATCTCAGCTACCGCAGCTCCAGTCCCACCCCCAACATCAACCAGAGATCCAATCGAATCAAAACTTCCTCCATACTCTGAAATCATTGCCTTCGTTGTGATCTTCGCTGTACATGCCATGCCTTGGTTGAACAGCAAATTAAACTCAGGATTTACAGAAGCAAACTCAAACATCTCTCGGCCATGGGTCTTCTGGAAAGCAGTGCCGCCCTCTTTCACGCACTGGCTAAGGCACTGGAAGGGAGACGTAATAAACGGGTGGTTGCGCATGAACACCAAGGGGACCAAGCTCTGCTCGGCGTCCTGTAACAGCCACTTTGAGGACTGGTTCAAACTGTACAAAGACTCTCCATTATTGGATTGAGACATTTCGTCGAACACTTGTTTGTGGACCAAGAATCTCATGATGCGAGCCAGGCAGTTGATGTTCAGTGAGGGAGAAGTAGAACCAATTTCAATGGCGATTTGGGTCAGGGTCATTGGGCGGCCATGGGAGTGTATGATGTCCGGTATGCGGAGCTCCACGGCACACTTCAAAGCTATGGATTCCACAGAGCTATATAGGTATTGCAATATATTTGCTTGGCCTATTATTGCAGCATCTACTTCTGAATCCATTGCTTTTCCCATTCTTACTTTGTGTGCCTGTTTTTTAGCTTGTAAATGGTTTCTTTTTGTAAGTGTGTTTTCTAAGCTACGGGAACGTGCATGTCTTCTGTTATATAGACTTCAAGGTAAAGGGGGTGCGGCCGGGCAGGCAAGGGAGAAGAGAGAGAAAGAGATCCAAAACAGAGTTTGAGTTGAGGTCCACAATATAATAACATCCACCCAAAATATAATAAGTGGTACGGTAACAATTTTTATATATATATATATTAAGGCACAATAGCCAAACACTCAATATTCTGGCTCTATTACAAGTGTTTTTTTTATCAAGTTGGGTGCGTTAAAGTTTGGGCTAAGTGTCTGCAAGGAGTTAAAAGACCGTCTTCTTATTTTACTGATTTGGTGGGAAAAAGTCGAACAAGAAACGCTACACCACTCCCCTTTAAGAAATGAACAAATTGTTAGAGATCGGGATGGATTGGTCGAAGATACTCTAATACTTAATTTAATAGAAGTTTATGATCAGAGGTAATTTACAGAAAAATATAGTGCGTATTTTTGACTTTAATCTACTCAGAATTTATAACGGTTTTTAACCCCTTCTAGGNTGCTTTTCCCATTCTTACTTTGTGTGCCTGTTTTTTAGCTTGTAAATGGTTTCTTTTTGTAAGTGTGTTTTCTAAGCTACGGGAACGTGCATGTCTTCTGTTATATAGACTTCAAGGTAAAGGGGGTGCGGCCGGGCAGGCAAGGGAGAAGAGAGAGAAAGAGATCCAAAACAGAGTTTGAGTTGAGGTCCACAATATAATAACATCCACCCAAAATATAATAAGTGGTACGGTAACAATTTTTATATATATATATATTAAGGCACAATAGCCAAACACTCAATATTCTGGCTCTATTACAAGTGTTTTTTTTATCAAGTTGGGTGCGTTAAAGTTTGGGCTAAGTGTCTGCAAGGAGTTAAAAGACCGTCTTCTTATTTTACTGATTTGGTGGGAAAAAGTCGAACAAGAAACGCTACACCACTCCCCTTTAAGAAATGAACAAATTGTTAGAGATCGGGATGGATTGGTCGAAGATACTCTAATACTTAATTTAATAGAAGTTTATGATCAGAGGTAATTTACAGAAAAATATAGTGCGTATTTTTGACTTTAATCTACTCAGAATTTATAACGGTTTTTAACCCCTTCTAGGGTTTCTCTGCTCTTGCATTGTGAGGTAGTTTATCTTACATTTAGTCGGATTGTTAGTTATCAAAGTCAGGATCCTTCGTGTCATCCCTTATCAAGCCTTTTATTCGGGAACACGAATAATGTTTACCCAAGATTTGTTCTTATCAATATAACATCTCCTCTCATTCTTCGTAATAAATTGATCTTCGCAATTATGAATAGTGATTATGCCGAGCTCGACTTTATTTTTTTCACGTTCCAAGGGACCATCATATTGGCACGTGGGTCAGTCACGTGCATGTACTGATTTCAAATCACTAAACATCTAGTTAGGCATAGTAATTCCAAACGTAAAATAACGTAGCAATTGAGTGTCCTAATCTGTGCTCTTCTTTTAACAAAATTCCAAACATGGAATAGTCGAAACTTGTACTTGAGAACAAATCTTATTCTTTTTTTGTTATAAGTTGTTTAAGCTTGCGTTGATTATTCCTTCGAACTCAATCGATTACTCTCTCAAGCCCTAAGCAAGTCATCATAATTCGAGTTAGTTTAAAAATATGTCTTATGAAGACCAAAAATGGTTGCCCATGGAGAGTGTGGGAAATACTAAACCTAAGATTTGTTATTTTAAAGAAGACAAACTTGACCACTGAATCACCACTAAGGGTTGGAGAAGAACGAGTTATCTTTATAATATTAAAGCTCTATACATTAACAAATTTAGTTTATTTTACAATTTAAGTTTGTGATTTATTTTTTTAATAAAAATTAGTTTGTTGATATGAACAGATTCTCACCTGTCAAGATGAGTTTCAATGATCCCGTAACTGTTTAAAAATTAGAGAGGAATCGAATCCCAGCAAGAAAATCTCTGAATCACATGTTTGTCGCATACCAACCTCTAAAAGAAATGGTGTCAGATATCGTATTTTAGATTTCATGTTCTATTAGATTTGCATGTGCAATCATGTGGGATAACTAAATTATTTTAATACATGCTTTGTCTCATTTTAATTCTCAATATTTTAATTATATCATTTTAGTCACTGAAATATTGAATATATTTTTATATGGTCTTTCAAACAGACAACGTCCAGATGACTAATAATTTTTTATAAATTTGTCATCTAATATTTAAATATGAGCAAAAAATTAATTTAGAAAAATCTTGACCAAATTTTTATCCAAATTTTGGTGAAAGAGCTCCAGAATTACACAGTTTTGATCATGACATATCCAAATATTGGTTAAGAGCTACTCTTATTACACATTTTTTGGGTCAAGAGCTACCTAAATTTTGATCAAGAGCTATTCAAATTATTTTTTCCCATCTTTAGGTATCACATGAAAAGTTTATGATAAAAAAACCGTTAACAATTTAAATGTTATCTTCTTAAAGGACCATATAGAAATATATTCAATACTTCAAGGATCAAAAAGATGCAATCGAAATATTAGAAATAAAGTTCATATTTTAGGGACTTTCAATATAATTAATCCTAAATTAAATTACTACATTTACCCACAGAAAATTGTGATCTCCCCAATTTTTGTCGTTGCATCTTTGTTCGATTAGAATTTTCTTTATGAATCTTGAAAATTAAGTCTCTTGACTACACCATTTTCTCTAATTGGTCTATTGGAACTTTTTTATTTGTTCAGTAAAAAAATGAATTTATTGATAGGAAACGAGACTTTTACAGGGAAAAAAAAAAACCTTGAAAAACTCCTCTATAGCGACTACACTGAGGATCATTTGGTCGTTATATTATAGGATATATTAAAAAGTTTTGTTGAATTAAAACACTTTAATACAGATTTATATTATATTTAGATGCAAAAAATTATTTTGTATTATATGTGGGATTAACTAGATAAGTATCACATATGTATAATTCTAATGCAATCTAGGATAAAGTACATTGACACCCTCTGTAGATTGGTCCAAGTATAAAGACACCTCTTTATTTTCTAAAATTACACTAACACCCTTACTATTTATCTACCCATTTCACAAAGTACTCATATAGTTAGCATCTTTATTGGCAATGTCAAAAAAGTGATTACATCATCAACTTTTTACACTTTAATATCCATATTATACCTAGACAAAATTAGGCTAACATGTTTATTTTCGTATTCGTGTTCATTTTTGTTTTTGTTTTGTTTTTTTTTTTTTGTAACATGGAATCTCTTCAAGCTTGGGCCACATTAGACCCATCCCTATGAAAGTAAACCCCAGATACGTGCAATCAACTGTAAGCCATAGGTATGAATTAAGTTCGAGAGACACCAACAAGAGTCGAACCCTGACATTCGGGTCTACGGTTTGTGTAAAACCCGAGCATGCATATGGATGAAAAAAAAATATCGGCACATATTTATAGTACATGTTTTAATAGGTTTAAAATTATAAAAAAAAATGAAATTGAGTTATTTACAAAAATGTCATTGCATGACATTTGTTTCCAAGCTGCTGCCTGGCAACAAAAGAGGAGTTCTTCTCAGCCTTCTCCATGATTCTAGATGTGTTTGAGGAGGTGTTAAATACTTCAGCAAGTCTCTGGATAAGGGAGAACCGCCAAGAGAGGAGAGAGGGAGAAGAGAAGCTAGAAAGAGAAAATTAAATTTGAAATTTCGGATTTGTGGAAGAAGCTACTTCGAACGATTAAAGATATGCTACTAGGCTAATTTGAGGGCTAGAAATCTCCTGGTATCATTAGAATTTCATATGATGTACTCCAATTGCTCGAATTTATGTTTTAAATTTTTGGATTCTAGATTTTTATGAAATAGGTTTTGAGTTTGAGGTCATTTTGGTTAACTTGGTTGGCTTGACTGTGTTTTGGGGAGGTAGAGAAGTATTTTGGTGGTTATTTCAAGGCTTCTCGTGGTCGGAGGTGATGGGGTGGTGGTGATGAAGTTTTGGTCATGGTGAGTTTTTGATCTCTTGGTTTTAGGGGTTAAACTTCAGAGGAAATGTTGTTCCTAGCTAAAATGGAGCTTAGGAATCCATTGGTGACCTTAGAAATGGATTTATAAGTTGTTAAGATGGTTAAAATGCAAGTTGCAGGTCTGACCATAAACTAACAACCTTATTTTTGGGTTACTTTGACCAGTTTTTCTTATGGGTTTAAGCTTCATTCAAAGCTTGAGAATTATGGGGTTTGTTAGAGTGATGTGTGGTGAGTGTTTAGGATCAAAGTTTAGGTGAAAAGGTGTATTGATTAGGGAGAAATAAGGGTGAGAAGTATGGGGGTTAGGGCTGGTGGAAGGAGCTTAGGATTTTGGTTAAAATGATCAAGGAAGAAGATAAAGTACACCAGTGCACCCCAACGGCGCGTGAGGTCGCTTATAAACTCTGATTGACCTCCGATTGGTGCCAAAAGTTACGTAACATCCGTGCGGAGGTTCCGATAAAATTTAAAGCCGATTCGACGGCCGAATCAAAATGAGGATTAAAATGACTATTTTGACCTCCGGGGCCAATTTGACCCAGTTTTTGGGTGATATTTGAAAAATAAATTTTATATTCATTCCTAGGTAGGTTATTTGAGTATGTGTATGAAAATTCATTGAAAAATAGTATCGTTTTATTTTTGGCTATTCCGGATCGAAAAGTAGCGAAAAATAGAATTTCTCTATTCCGAATCAATCAAAGTTTTTCAAATTCATTGTGAAATCATGGATTACATTACTTATGAATTATTAATATATTTTAAGACTTATGATTGATGATCTTGAATCTG